TGCCGGGGAAGGGACCCGTCCCACCGCCCCAGCCACGGAGCCCGGGCCTGGCTCCAGAAGCTCCAAGCATCCCTCACCCCGGGGTAGGTGTTTTCTGCTCAGCCTCGGGGGAGACGCAGGAGAACCTGCTCCAGGCCATCATCTCCCACCCTCCCGCCTTCTCCGTCACGCCAACTCCGGCTGCTCACCCAGGAATCTTCCCAAGCATCCGTACTAACGACGGCAGGATTGCCCACGCTGATGCTATACTAGGAGAACAAGAGCAGCATCGTTAATCACTAACGAGCAGCTGCCCTCCTTTGGGAAGGAGGGGGATCCCAGGTCTTAGCAGAGCCGTCCGAGTCCGGACCTGTCCCCGCTGACTACGGGACCCTTCGGAGGCCACCGTTTGCTCCCCTCCCAGGTGTCCCCACGGGGCTGGGGAAGGAGAAGGGACACAGGAGCCACGTTGCCTGTATTTGTGTGTCTCTGGTTGGCTTTTGTTGGGTTGTGGGTTTTTTTTTTGTTTTGAGCTCCGATAATAAATCAGCCCAAGACACCCCCTCTGTCCTCTCACCTCACCCCCTGGCACTTCCCTCCACAGGAGATGAGCCGGTCCCCAGCCCGTCACACCCCGCGAACAGCACCTGGAGCATCCCTGACCCTGTTAGGGACCTGCGAGCCGGGGTGACCCCAGACAGTCGGATGGAGCGTGGGGAGGGACACTGAGGAAGCCGGAGCCCACAGCCACCCCGCTGGCTCTGTCCCCGTGACACAGTGGTGGGTCTCATTCATGGAATGGTTTGGGTGGGAAGGGACCTCAGATCCCCCTCAGTGCCACCCCCTGCCATGGGCAGGGACACCTTCCACTAGACCAGGGTGCTCCAAGCCTCATCCAGCGTGGCCTTGGACACTTCCAGGGATGGGGCATCCACAGCTTCTCTGGGAACCTGTCCCAGTGCTCCCACCCTCTGCGGGAAGAATTCCTTCCCCATGGCCCATCTCCATCTCCCTCTTCCCAGTTAACCCTGTCACTGCCTGCCCTGGTGCTGTGACACCAAGTGCTGTCCTGCTCCGCGCTCACCGCATTCACAGGCGCCACCCCAAGATGGTCACCAACCTGGGTGGTGGGCACAGTCAAGTGACCGAAGGCTCGTTTAAGTGGGAACAAGCTTGTTTCTGATTCGTACAAAACTGCTTTAATGACCCAGTTGAAAAAGTGCCTTTTCTAGTACCACCAAGAAACCTCGTGTGGTCAGAGCCGAGACCCCCCAGGGCCAGGATCGCCCCCGGCTTGGGAGGGCGAGAGGCTCCTCTCGGGCACCTTCTCCCAGTGCAATGTCCCAGGGGAGGGGTCTGTCCCTGACACCACACTGAGCCCCCTTCAGGACTCTACCCCGAGGACAGTTTTCCCCTTGGCCACGCACACGTGTGGGCTGGAGATTGCCCCGCGCCGTGCTCTGGTGTCCAGGCTCCCTCCAGGTTTGGGAGTGTGGCCGTGGCCACCCCCTTTCCCCCCAGTGACGCCCTGGAGACACCCCGCCGGGGGCGCCAGGCGGCAGCACCAGCTTTTCCAGCCCGGCCGAGTCCCTGAGACACCGGATAACGCCCCAACGAGCGCGGAACCCAATGGGAGGGTTGGGAAAAGAGTCCAAACCTCAGCAACCGCTGGGCGACGGGGCGAAGAAGTACACGGCCAGGAGGATGAAGTAGACCATCACCAGCACCGTGCCTAGGGCAGACAGAGACGTGGGAGAGGGTTACTCTCGGGAGCAGGGAGGGAAGTTGCTTCTCAGACCCTCTGAAGGGCCCCGCTGTGGGGGGCTGTCACGCTTCTCCGCGACACCTCAACCAAAAGGGGTCTGAAACCCCCTCTAAGGGTGAAAAGCTGCAGGGTGGCAGCTCCAGCACCGCCGAGACGGTCACCCAAACCCCCCCCCG